TGTCTAGTGTCTAGTGTCTAGTCTATAGCCAAGTCTCTACCTAGCTATATTATCTTCATAACCACTTTAATACATAGGTCTACTATCTCTATAAGGCCACCATTTTTTATTTTGTTGGTTTACAGGATTTTTGTTGTTGTTGTTAACTCGGTAGGGTTAAAAAAAAAAAAAAAATTGTTGTTTTGTCAGATCAAACAAGTCAAAATACAGTGACACTGTTATACATGATATTAAAGTATTTTAAGAAAACTAAATGAAAACAAAACTCAACTTGTAATTATTTTTACTTTTATTATAAACTATTTGTTTATGAAATGTATTTGTTTTTTACATTTAATTTTTTTTTATTCATATTTCTTAGAGAAAAGGTCGGCGAGAATAAAAAAATACAGATTTTCAATTATTATTATTTTTCGTTTTTCTTGAAAATTCGGGTCGGCGGATCTGTAAACCAACAAAATAAAAAATTCTCGCCTAACTAGCTTTATACGTAGCTCTACTGTCTAGTCTACAGCCAGTTCTATATCTAGCATTTATTATTGTATTGATAATCATGGGCCCGTTGTCAGAAACAAAATTAGTCTTAACACTAGTCCTAACATTAACAATTTCTCCTAGACCGTCGACATCACTTTGTTTCGTATTGTTATGAGGAAATCTGCTACGATTTTTCACTCTCGCAACTTCGCAGCGTTTCTGTCAACGGTCTAAGAGAAAAAGTGTTAAGACTAATGTTAAAGGCCGCCGCACACCAGCCGATTTTTACAAACAATGAAGCGATGAAGCGATGAAGCGATGAAGCGATGAAGCGATGTAGGTGTGCGCGTTCATTTGTAGACGATTTTATTTTTATCGGGTGATCGTTCCAAATCAAACATGTTTGATTTTGAACCGATGAGCCGATGAGCCGATGAGCCGATGAGCCGATTTTAAGGCCGCCGCACACCTACATCGCTTCATTGCTTCATCGCTTCATCGTTTGTAAAATCGGCTGGTGTGCGGCGGCCTTAAGACTAAATTTTGTTTCTGACAACGGGCCCCAGCTCTATACTTGACTATACTGTCTCTATAATATATATCAGTATGGCTTTATATTTGACTATACTGTCTCTATAATATATGTGGCTTTATACTTGCCTATAATACGGTCACTAAAACCACTTTATACCTAGTTCTACTCTCTCTCTCTCTCTGCATTTCATAGTCAACTCTCTAAACATAGATCTATACCCCCCCCCCCTACGCTATAACCGTTGTCAGGAACATCACGGGTAGTTCGTAAGTCTGAAATCTCACAACTCACGCATTTACGTTCTTCGCCGAAAAAGTTACGACATTTTAAACACATACAGTGTTTCCCCTGGCCAAAAAGGTCTGTGAGATGGTAAATGTTTTTTGTGGTGTGTTTGTGCGTTTCGAGGTCCTAGCAAAGCGAGCAGTGCAGGGCATGCTCCCCCGGAAATTTTTTGAAAAAATGGTGCGATTAGGTGCACTCTAAGCTATTCTGAACACATTGTATGAGACTATTGAATCTCTTTTTCAAGTTGTTAAAAGTTTCGTCAGCGATGCGGTGTTTTGGACAAATTTCTGTGTGGCGGCTGAGAATTTGAGCGAGGCGGCCTGCCTCGCTCGTGTCAATGCAGAGGAAACACTGTCATAGCTATACGTATGACGTTTCAAACAACAGGTATCCAGCTCTCTACTACGGTGGCCCAGCTTTCTATCACATCCCCGTGCAGGTATCACAGCATGCGCTGTCTGAAGAAAAAATCTGAATTAGTGACAATCATTTCCCCCAGCTGTTAAGATGGATTTGACAGAAACGGTGAAGAATTTTTATAGCCATTTGGGACCCCATACTCTACTGTGCTAGTACTAGATTAGCCAAGAATTCCCTTCCCGTTCTCACTACGTGGCTCCTATGTACTATGTAATGACCTGTATGTAATGTCCTATGTAATGACATGAAACAGTCGTAGAGCCTGGTCGGGCTAGTACTAAATTAGATACAGTAATATAACCCCAACATAACAGCACTCTTATGTCGAGTTAGATTATTGAGTTGCTTTTGATATTTTTAAGTTACTTTCTCCATTTACATTTAGACATTTGACAGTTGAGTTACATTGTTGCATTTTACATGATTGTATTTAGTACTGCACTCACGAACTATTGCTCTCCGGCGCATTCTCTAGCGGTGCCGCTGACCTCTGACCGGCGGCGCCGCACATTCTCGGCACTTGGCGACGCAGCGGGAGGCGTACAACAACAACAACTCTTTGACAACAGCTCACATACAGGGGGAGGGGGAAGGAGGGGGAGGGACAAGTAGGCAGTCAGTGGCTTTTCGGAAAGCTACGGAGCCGAGGTTAAGACGAGCACGCACGCACGCACGCACGC